GTACGCAATACTATTACTACTTATACTACTATTACTACTTATACTACTACTACTGTTACTACTACTACTACTACTACTGCTGCTACTGCCACTACTGCTACTACTAATACTGTTGTTACTACTAATACTGTTATTACTACTGTTACTACTACTACTACTGCTACTACTGCTACTGCTTTTACTACTACTACTGCTGTTATAACTACTACTGCTGCTACTACGACTACTGTTACTACTACTACTAATACTACTACTGTAAATACTACAATCACCAAGAGTATTTTTTGAGATATTTTATTAAATTATTTTGTTACAGAGCTGCAGTTTTATTGTGTTCAGTGGAAGAAAACTCGTTTATGTGACACATTTGACATTTTCTCTGTTTCGTTGATTAAAATGTTTGTGTTTCATATGAACTTTGCCCAAGAAGTGGTTTAACAAAGACTTTTACTATCACAGACATGATTTAGACTTTGTTTTTTATTGAACCGTATTGAATCGATTTGAAATATATCGTATCTAACCAAAAGCTGTATCAAGATATGTATCGTATTGTGGCCTATTTATCGAGGTACGTAGCTTATGTATTAAGGTATCTATCATGTCATGACCTATTTATATCAAGGTATCTATTGTATCGTGACCTATTTATCGAGGTACGTATCATATCGTAGCCTATTTTTTGAGGTATGTGTGGTATCGTGGCCTATTTATCGACATATGTATCGTATCATGACATATTTATTGAGATATGTATTGTATTGTGGCCTATTTATCAAGATATGCATTGTGTTGTGGACTATTTATGGACATATGTATCATATCGTGGCCTATTTATCGGGGTATGTATCGTATTGTGGCCTATTTATCGGCGTATGTATCGTATCGTGACATATTTATTGAGGTATGTATCATATCGTGGCCTACTTATCGAGGTATGAATCGTATCATGGCCTATTTATTGACATATGTATCATATCGTGGCCTATTTATGGACATATGTATCGTAGCCTATTTATCGAGATAAATATCGTATCGTGGCCTATGTGTCACATTGTGGCCTATTTATCGAGGTATGAATCGTATCGTGATTGAGATATGTACCATATCGTGGCCTATTTATCGACGTATGTATTGTATTGTGGCCTATTTATCAAGATAAGTATCATATCGTGGCCTATTTATCGAGGTATGTATCGTGACATATTTATTGAGATATGTATCGTTTTGTGGCCTATTTTTTGATGTATGTATCATATCGTGACATATTTATCAAGGTATGTATCATATCATGGCCTGAGTATCGTATCGTGGCCTATTTATCGAGATAATGTATCATGTATCGTGTTGATGTGAAATGTGTAAATAGAGGAGGAGCTGGATAGGCTGAGGAGGCTGGTGTTTGCGCCGCTGCGGTGGAGCCGATTACGTTTCCGAGGGCTTTAGGGAGGAGCGAGAGAGTCCGGTTGTGAACGGCGTGACATTTAATTCTAATTTCCGTTTCTAAGTTTTTATCTTGACAATATTTCCTGATCCCATTCTCCGCTTTATCTTTCCGCACGACGCTAAAATGCCTCATAAATCTTCCAGACAAGGCTTTAATGCCTCAGAGATTAGAGCTGCGTGACTGGACTCAGGCCCGTTCTCGCAATTTTGACTTTTTTTCTTTATAAACTTAAGGTGGATAATCACGAGGAGCATTTTCAGACCATGTTTTAAAGCTCCTATATTCCGTAAAAACCGACTCTTGTGAGCTTTAAGTCGTGTTCTAATGCTGCTACCTCCTCAAAAACAAACCTTTTCATTCACACACGTTTGAGTAAATCTTTATTATCAGTCTGTCTACATCTCTAAACCTTAAAATGTTCTGTTCCACCTTATGATGTCATGAAGTTTTCAAGTTAACAGCTATTTTCTTTATCTTTAGTTCAGTAGAGATCGACAATTCCAGGGCTTAAATGATCCAAATGATTCTAGTGAAGGTGTGTGGAGTTTAAAAACACAGTGGAGCCCTTCCTGTATCACCACATGACATCACAAGGTGGAACAGCGCGACGCTTGTTTTGCTTCCACACATGGATTTTCATATTAAATCATTTGACCAATCACATTTCAGGATCATCTGTTGCCGGGCAGAGTCAAAGTCACAGAGTCTGAGGTCTTCACAATCTGATCTAAAGGAACTCGAACAAAAAATAAATGTCCATGAAACTGTCGCTTCAACCAATCAGATTTGAGTCAGCGAACGACACCGACACCGGACTTCAGACCCGACGTTTGGACAGTCAGAGAATGAACCAGACAAAACAACAAACTGCATCTGTAAAGGCGACGCAAATCAAAATTATTATTACTGTGTTTTACTGTTATTAATCACCAGTGTAGAGGGGATTTAGTGGGAGCACGTGATTCCTGATTGAACCAGGACTAAACCAGGACTAAATCTGGACTAAACCAGGTCTAAACCAGGACTAAATCTGGACTAAACCAGGTCTAAACCAGGACTACACCAGGACTTCACCAGGACTAAACCAGGACTGAACCAGGACTGAACCAGGACTGAACCAGGTCTGAACCAGGACTTAACCAGGAATAAAAGAGGACTTCACCAGGACTAAACCTGGACTAAACCTGGACTAAACCTGGACTACACCAGGACTAAACCAGGACTAAACCAGGTCTAAACCAGGTCTAAACCAGGTCTAAACCAGGTCTAAACCTCTAAACCAGGTCTAAACCAGGACTAAACCAGGTCTAAACCAGGTCTAAACCAGGTCTAAAACCAGGTCTAAACCAGGACTAAACCAGGACTAAACCAGGTCTGAACCAGGTCTAAACCTGGACTAAACCAGGACTAAACCAGGAAAACCAGGACTAAACCAGGACCTAACCAGGTCTAAACCAGGTCTAAACCAGGACTAAACCAGGACTAAACCAGGTCTAAAACCAGGTCTAAACCAGGTCTAAACCAGGTCTAAACCAGGTCTAAACCAGGTCTAAACCAGGACTAAACCAGGTCTAAACCAGGTCTAAACCAGGTCTAAACCAGGACTAATCTTGGATTTAAGAGAGAAAGTGCACTCACCTCTGGGCCTGTCTCGATGCTCAGTCTTTGTCTAATTCTGTTTTAGATTCTAATTCTGGTTTAGTCCTGTTTTAGACCTGGTTTAGTCCTGGTTTAGTCCTGGTTTAGTCCTGGTTTAGTCCTGGTTTAGTCCTGGTGTAGACCTGGTTTAGTCCTGGTTTAGTCCTGGTTTAGTCTTTGTTTAGTCCTGGTTTAGTCCTGGTTTAGCCCAAAATGTAAAAACATGATAATACCGCCCTGTAATCTTTTTATTTCAGTAAAGTAACTGTAATCCAATTACCACTCATTAAAACAGTAACTGTAACTGAATACAGTTACTCATAATTTGTACTCTGATTACTCTGGTACATGTAATCTGTTACTCCCCAACACTGGTAATCGCTTTTTCCTTATGAGGAAACTTTATTGATTTCTAAAGTTCTCCAGTTTTAAATCTCACACTCCAACTTGTGCCTCACTCAACATTTTTTTTTTTTTTTTGATTATTTTAATTGAAATCTTTTGACTATGATTATGTTTTTTGTCAAGGTTAAGTCTTAAATAACTCTTTTCAGGTTTTGTTGATGAGAACGTCACGGTAATTTCAAAATATATTATAATGACAAAAGCTCTGACAAATGTTTTGGTTAACGAAATTAGCGCTCACATTAAATTTGTTTTGAGAAAAGTTTTCAAAGTTACAAATCACAAAATCACAAAAACTAAAGCAAACAAAACAAAATATGCGATGTTTATGTGGAAAAAAAACATGTTGTACCTCGAGTTTAGACCACTGTTTCCCAAACTTTTTTTTTTCTTTTCTGGAGGCCCATATTTTAAAAATCACAAATCTTAGCAACATTATTCGTGAATTTGTGAGCATTATTGAACATTAATGAGGATATTTTTATTGTTGACTGAGTGATCGTGTCTCTCTGAACAATTAGTATTACTGTATTTTTTGGATTATAAGGTGCACCGGATTATCAGGTGCATTAAGCAAAACAAACGGACACTTTAGACTTGAGACTTTTTTATTTCCTACAAGGACGACTCAAATATACACTGAGTAATAATGTTTTTAATGCAGCTTTGAGCACATTTGTTTACATTTTACAGAAATGAAACTTAAAACCACGTGACTCATTTGCATAAACTATAAGCTCTGAAAAAAATCAGCCCGCTCCTTGTGCGCTGATGCGGTTCAGATTCTGTCGCACTAAAGGACATGACTCAGTGGAATATATTGAAAATCGGTTTGAGGTTAGTAAACACAACCAGAATTAATACATAAGGTGCACTGTTGATTTTTCAGAAAATTAAGGGATTTTAAGTTCTCCTTATAGTCCAAAAAATACGGTAATTGAGGTTTAAACAAGGAAAAACAGTAATCAGTGTTTAAATTTGTTAAGCAAAGTGGTGCTGCCGAAAAAGTGAGGAGCGGGGGGTGCACAGAGATGTATGAAATAGGGATGGGCATGATTAATTGATTAATCGCTAATTGATCATGAAGAATTTCATCGATTACGTTAATTTTAATCGACAAACCGAATGTAGGTTGCTGTAGTTTGACCAAACAGGTGTGTACATGTGTCTCTGCATCAGAAGGAGCGAGACACAAACAGAAACAGTGGGTCAGTCTGTAACGTACAGAAGCACAAATGTGGATTTAACGATGATTTGTACAAGAAATTCCACACTTTCCGTTGCGTTCGGGACAAGTGTGAGTCCATGTGCACAGTGTATAAAGCAGCACATATGTTTCTGTGTCCAGTGGGAAAAAGTTTTTCCAGGTGAGAGTCGCTCAATGTGGATGACGAGGCCCCGCCCCCCTCCCCCCGTACGCTGTCCTGGTTTTGACAAACACAAATCTGGTCACACTGACCTGTATTCACCTGAGTCATGTCTTTTAATCCGACAGAAGTTGAACCACATC